CGATTGTGCAACTAAGTTTACGGTGTGCAATTTTGCCATACCAAGGGTAAATATCCGACCCTTTAAGATTGGACTAATATGAAAAGAAAAAAACTTATAAATCAAGTCAGATTTATCAAATTTTTTTCCTTTTTTCCATTCATCATTCAGAAAAATCTGGTTCAGATCACAATTTTCCATGACCGTCCTTTTGAAGAGACATGCTCAGCTATGCCAGCTGGTCTCTTTAGATTCGATAATATCAGCGATCGGTGAGCATAGTTCTAATATTTGTCCTTTAGGCAGGGCTGGGTCTCCATATTCATGTGCAGGGCCTATTGGGCTTTGAGTTACATAGAGTTTGGATATCACTAAAAAATGGAATAATTCATAAATAATTAGAACAGCCCTGATATTCAAACAACCCTTTATTTTTGTGAAATGTACTCTGTAGTAAATAGAAAATTATGAAAATTTCAAGGAATTGTTTAGAAATGATGCTAGAGCGACATTTGAGTGGTATGCTGAATTGTGTCGTCAATTACCTGGTTCTGTGACTGGTGTGAAGCTATTATCGGGTCACATTCAGTCGGACTCGAAGGAAGCGCTAGAAGCCCAGGTAAAATTTTTTGTGATTACAAAGTTGTTGTGGTAGCTTTTCCCATCTCTAAATAAGCTATCAATTTCAGGAGAAAGCTTATGGAGATATTGTTTATAACTTTTGTTTTATGAAAGACAAGGAGCGTTTGAGTCTCTTTCCAGATCCTTCAAGGTAAATGTTTTGCTTTGTCCAGATTGTAATCTGCTATGCGATTGGCTCCATGCAAAATGATAGCAAGAATCGTATATTTTTGCAATATAAGTATTTTTTTATTCTGTAGCCCTTTTTGTATACACTGCAGGAACTAATTTCGCAGAGATTTCGTTTTTTTTTGCTGCTATAGAACCCTTAAGACACGCTATCCACTTCTCGTCTTTTGCTGCAGAGGGAAACCAGTACGTACCTTTTCTCAAAAAACAACTGCTTGCCCGTGGAGTGACTTTTGTAAAGAGGAAGATCAATAACGTTGAGGA